AATCCTTGTCTCTCTCTCTCTCCCCCACCTCTCTGAGACAGGGTTTTACTATTAAGTCCAGGCTGGCCTCAAACCAGCAACTCTCCTGTCTTAGCCTCTTGAATGCTGAGATTACTGGCATGTACCATCTAAACAATTTTCTTCTGTACAATGGAGAAAAAAAAAAAGTCTTCAAAATCAAAATTAGAAATAAGATGCAAACTAACCTCTGGCATGTTGAAACAACTGAGAGGCCATTATATTAAGGCAGTGCTGGCAGTGCTGAGATTCTTTGTAAACAATTGGGAAGTCAACTCCAACTCAGAGAAGAGTCATACCTCTGTAAGGCTGACCAATCAGAAAAGCCTTTTTAGTGGTGACTATATGGCTACTGTTGACTTTAATGAATCAAATATTTTCTTTACTGCTTCTTCAAATACCTTGTAAATGTTTTCCCTTGTGCTCCCTGGGAAACTCAGACCTCTTGCAGTTTGGTGATCTAATTGTTTTTAAAAAATTTGTTTTTATTGAATTTTTGTTTATTTTATACAGAACATTTCAGTCAATCTTAATCATCTTTATACTCCCATTCCCAGTGGCACCCTCCCATAGCACCCCCCACCCGCCACTGGAATTCATACATTCTGTCATTTGTGTTAAGGCCTATTGTGTCAAGTTAGTGCCCCCAGATGTTCCTCAGTGCAAGTTCATGTACTGAAGTCTAGTCAGCTTATCTAGAGTCCCTTGCTTTAGGAAGATCAGCTCTTCCTCATTCAGCAGTAATCAGTTGCCAATATTTCTTCAGCTAAAATTGGGGTCTGCTGACCATTTCCCCAGTTCTATGCTGGGTTTTTGTCTGCTTGAGTTTGCATGGGACTTGTGTATGCTGACACCATTGCCGTAGGTTCATATGAGCAAGGTCCCAGGAGCTTATAAAAGGACTCTATTTCCATATGGTCGTGCACCTCCTCCCTGGCTCTTACAATCTTTCCACTCCCTCTTCCACAATGCTCCCTGAGCCCCAGGTGAGTGAAGATTAATAGAGGAGTCCTGTCCAAGGACCAGCATTCTACAGACTCTTAATCTCTACGCTTTGGCTATTTGTGACCTTTTGTGTTTCTGGTCCTCTGTTGCATGAGGGAGCTTCATTAATGAGAATTGTTAATGAATTATCAGAAATGGGGAAAATGGGGACACTTTAAATGGGAAAGCCATGGTGGAAGGGTTATACAGGGAAAGAGAGAGGAGAGATAATACCTAGCTAGTCTAAAAAAAAAAAAAACAGAGGGAATCATAATCATATTCATCCAACAACCTAATGACAAATTACACATACAGTATCTCCATGTATATAGCTGAAGACTACATAACAAGAAACAGTACCAGACAGGAGATACCTTGCTTTGAGTTGTTGGCTAGGGTGGTCCAAGAGACTCCCAAAATTACACAGGCTATTGCCACAGCCCTTGATTGCCTCACAGAACTTGAAGGTAACACCCTACTGCTGAAGACAGGACATAACGTTGAACACAGAATTTAGAACAATGGTCCTGGAACTGATCTGAAAGTCATTTCCCTTGAAGGCTAACTCTCATAGCTTTGGAGAGCACCATGAAGGTGCCAAGGGAAAACATCAATCGATGGTCCCACACCAGCTTCAAGACCAAATAACCACATCAATGACAGGCACAGAATACGACATTGGTGCAGCAGTGACACTTTTATCTTGGGGGCAATCAACAGATACCTAATTGGAATAAAAACCCATTCAATGGGAGGAAACTCAAGTATGGTACTGTAAACATAACCAAAAACACATGGCTGGAGAGGTCATAGATCTTAGAGAAAACCCTAAGACTGTTACATCACTAGACTGATATAATTTCTATGTGCAAAATATGTATCCTTATATTTACAGACAAATGTCCCAGTCACCACTCATCAAAGAAGCTTCTTTTGCACCAGACAGAGACCATTACCAAGTACCACAACTGGTCACACACAGACATTGTCTATGAATTTCCCAGGCCTAAGTGACACATCTACAATGCAACCTCTACATTTAAGGCTTACAGAACATAGAACAGGGGTAAAGAGGACACTAATGATTCTTTAAGTTCTCATTAATGGTGATCTAATTCTATTCAAAGAAATAGTAATTGTGTATGTGGGGGTGTTATGGAGAAGAATATGTTCCAGTATAATACATACTGGCACAAGAACGTCCTTATCTAACACAATACCATGAACAATGAATATATACAATGAAAAAATAAATGTTTAAGGTGATGGAAAGGTTAATTGCTCTGATTTGAACATTACATATTATATACAAACATTGGACTATCATAGTGTACCTCACAAATATGTATAATTATTATGTTTATTTAAAAAATTACTACTTTTCAGGTGTGGTGGGGCACACTTTTAATCCCAGCACTCTGGAGGGAGAGGCAGGCAAATCTCTGTGAGATCAAGACCAGCCTGGTCTACATAGTGAGTAACAGGCCAGGTGGGGCTACAGGGAGACCCTGTCTCAAAAAATTACTGCTATGCATATACCTGGTACTATATACCTGTAATCCCAGCACTCAGGAGGAGACAGGAGGATCATGAGTTAAAGGCCAGCTGAGGCTACCATAGTGAGTCCATATTTCAAGGCAAACAAACAAAACAAAAAAAAATAGTAAAAGACTAATAAAAAGTTAATATAACCAACTTTATCACTTAATAGGAGCATCAAGCTAACAAGAAGTTATCTTAAAGAAAAAAACAAAGAACCTTTAACATCTCCTATACAACTTGAATAAGCCCAAGAGAAGAATTTATAAGCAGAAAAAAAATCCTACCTGCAGCTGCTAAGAAGGCAGGTTCTGAGCAACTATTGGAATGAGCTCTACTCTGCTTGGTTGAACCATATTTATTAAGGAGAAAGTGGGGCTATCAAATGATGTGACTGATGATTAAGTTGGCTCCTTTGGTGCTTTTCCTCAGTCACAATCACAGATATCCTAAGGACTTAGGTGGCTCAGCCATTAATCTGAAATTTAGATTCTTGAAATGGGCAGCTGAGGCAGTCTGCTTAGAAGCTACTGCAAGAGTGGAGGAAGAAAAGATCTGCAATTTAGTAGCTGTTTTCATATTTTATAAAATACAAGTAGACCCACTGCAATCTGAGTGTTGTTCTAAGCTCCAGAGTTCCATTAGGGGTTGATGGGCAGAGTTCTTGCCTGCAAGACAGGTATTCATAAATAGGTAGGTCAGAAGGCAGCCAGCACACTGGAAGAAACCCGGCTGGGGTACAGGACATATATGGAGTGCTCCTGGGAGTCTGGGAGGGTACCTCTGAAAAGGCAGTGAGCAGAGGATGAATGTTTGGAGGATTGCCTGAGGGCAGACTTGACTTTCAAGCAGAGGGAAGCAAGGAGGCCCTATGGTGAGGGGGCAGTGAGTTAAGATGATCCAGAGGGAAGGTCTAATAGAGCGGGGGTGGTCAATAATGTGCAGTTAAGATTCCAGCCTTCACACTGAGTGAGACAGGAACATGCTTTGTTGTTGCTTTTGAGCCAGGGTCTCCCTATGTAACCCAGGCTGGCCTCCTGCCTCAACCTGGTGAGGCTCAGATTATAGGCCCATGCATCATGCCTGGCTGAGTCACATGCTTTGCTGACCTAGGCTTTCCAAGATCACTCTAGTCAGCTATGCAAGGGTGACAAGTGAGTGGCAGTTGGAAGATCAGTTAGAGGTCACTTGCAGTCATCCAGACAAAATATGACAGTGGCTTGGGTTATGTAGGAGATGGAAGTTATAGGAAGTGACTGGGTGTCTTTGTACATTCTGGAAAGACTTGTTGAAGGAATGAACTGTGAGTGTGAGAGAAGGGATCTAAGGATGGCTCAAAGTATTCAGTTTGAGAAATGGGAAGAAAGGGGCTCATTTTATCGAGATGGTGAGAACTAGGCAAGGAGGTGCTAGTGAGCTGGTGGCTGGGGGTACACATTGAAATGCTGAGTTTTCATACCAGGCTTGGCGGCACATGCCTTTAATCCCAGCATCTGGGAGGCAGAGGCAGGAGGAGGAGGCTCTGTGAGTTCGAGGCCAGCCTGGTATACATTACTGAGTTCCTGGCCAGTCAGGGCTATACAGTGAGACTCAGTCTCAAAGAAACAACCAAACAAAAACAAATACCTCCATCACCAAACAGCAACAAAGCCACCTTTTTTGTTGTTGTTGTTGTTTTTTTAATTTATTATTCTTATTTTATTGTATGAGTGTATTGCCTGCATGTATGTGAGTGCACCTGTGTCGTGCAATGCCACGGAAGTCAGAAGAGGGCTTCGGATTCCTCTGGAACTGGAGTTAAGGACCATTTGTAGCCGCCATGTGGGTGCTGGGAATTGAACCTCAGTCCTCTGTAGGAGCAGTCAGTGCTCTTAACCGCTGAGCTATATCTCCAGCTCCTTCTTTTTGTTTTTCTGAGACAGGGTCTCATGTAGATCAGGCTGGCCTTCAAGTACTAATCCTCCTGTCTCTACTATTCAAGTGCTGGGATGATAGGTGTGTGCCACCATGCCTCCCGGCCTATCAGAGCTCCAAGAAGAGATATTCAAGTTAGGAAAGAGAGGGTACTGGGATCTGATGAAGATCAGGAGATTCCTCGAAATTTAGAAAAAAAAAGGGGTGGGGTATTTATAAAATGACCCTCTTGAAAAAGTTTCAAAGTATTTTAGTTCTTATCTTTTAAAAGCATGTGGCAACATTAGGCTGTCAGAAGCAGCTGAAGTTGGATCAGTGATTCCTAAATTGGGGCCTCAGGCCAGGAGCACCAACATCTCCTTCAGCTAGCTGGAGAGGCCAGCCTCAGAGCTGCTCTCCACCTGGTGAGTCATAAAGTCTAGAGATAAGGCCCAGGAAAGGCAGGTTGATGCATACTGCAGACTGGGTGAGGGCAATGATAAGCTTAGCATTTCCAGGTTTTAAACATTTAAAAAAGAAAAGGAATTAACTTCTTTTTAGAGGAAAAAAAATGTCTTTATTGTTTGACATATAAAAAGGAGTAAACAAAATTTGGAATCACATTTCATTTCATTTTAGTATTTTCAATAAAGGTATAAAAATACAGCGCCACTTTGTTTTGTGAGCTCTTGAAAATGTCTAGACGGTCACACTTAATATGATATAAAAGGCATTTACAACACACAGTGAGAGGATAAAAATAAAACAAGCTCAGGGTACAATTGAATCCACTGGGAGAAAAAATTCTAAATATACATTACCACATACATAGGACTTCATTTTCTTTCTGCATTTACCGCCAGGTTACCTGTAGATACAGAGATGTGGTTGGTGTTCCCACCTTTGTTCTAAAAAATATTTTATTTATTATTTTTATTTTATGTGTATGCATGTATTGCCTGCATGTAGGTAAGTGCACCCGTGTTGTCCAATGCCCAGAGGTTAGAAGAGGCTGTCGGATCCCCTGGGGCTGGAGTTGCAGACAGTTGTTAGCTGCCATGTGGGTGCTGGGATTCAAACCCGGGTCTTCTGCAAGAACAACCAGTGTTCTTAACCACTGAGCCATCTCTCCAGCCCCTCCCTCACCTTTGTTCTTGATGTAGGTTCCAAGAGCAAAAAGAGACCTGCCATGAATTTGGTGCTCTTTCTTTTCTACTTTGATTTCCATCTTGTTTAAGATAAAACAAAATTTCCAATTTGTAACTGAGATCTTTTGGAAAACCTGGATCATTTTCATTCATTTTATTTTAAATCCCAATTCATTAAAAAAAATAGACAAATGATGCAAAATTTTTTTCTAAATAAAAATGTACTCATTCTTCAGCCACCAACATCACTGTAAACAGTAATATTTCTGAAGCAGGTGTGCCTACCTACAGGTATATATATATATTTTTAAAAAAGTTGCTGCCTCATTTGGGCTTTTTAGCACGTTGAAATCACACTAACATGACCTTTGTGAACTGTGATCGGAGGCTCAGTACAACCCAAACCACTCAGTGCATTCATTTGTGACAAAAGATACACATGCCTCACATGGTTCCACCATTTCACCCTCCTTTGGGTTGGCCACAACGCACACCACAAAAACCAGAGCCCCCAAACAAAACAACAACAAAATCAGCCCTTCCCTGTCACATATGTGGTGTGCGAATGAAAATAAGTTTATTCTTGCTGTGGGAATTCTTAGGTCTGCGTAATTGTGTTAGAGCATCTTTTCCCAAGGCATTTGAAAGAGTGTAAATTTTTGAACTGAAAGAAATAAAAGCCAGATCAATAACTGGTTTTCTACATTTAAGATGCTATTTTAGAAGCAAGTGAACATATTTCACCCCAAGAGTGTATTCACCAAAGACATACATTAATTACCCTAGGGAACCACCTAAAACATCTGACATGATTTAACAATAAAATCTAGAAATTTGATTATTTTCATGATGGGATTTGAACTTTAAATAAAATTGACATTTAAAATAATATAGGGGGAATATAGAGTGACTTGAATTCTTCTAACTTTATTACTATAATCATAACTGGGAGAGATTTAAATTGGTCCTTGACAATGAGTTATGTGTTTAAGTCAGTCCTTAACAATGCCTTTCCTGTCTTTCCTGTTGTGGCTCTGAGGATATGCCACAGTAATTAATGTATGGTGGGGGTGTGGAACGCCTCGGCTACCTTCCCAACTGTGTGAACATGCATTCATTTATGGACCTGTGCTCATACTTTCCTAGTCAACTTCTGTGTTGGATGACATTGAAAAGCTTTTGCTGATTTTCAAGGCAGTCTTTCAATTTATCTTCTGTCAAAGTCAGTCGTTGCTCCAAAATTGAAACAGTCTGCAAAATGGAGGACGAAACAGTCAGTGCCTGGCATCCCGGTGATTAGAAGATGATGCCAGTGTCTGCAGAAGACATTTTGGTGTTTTGGTTTTGGTTTTTTGAGACAGGGTCTCCCTGTAGCCCTGGCTGGCCTGGAATTCGGTATATAGACCAGGCTGGCCTTGAACTCACAGAGCTCTTCCTGCCTCTGCCTCCCCAGTGCTGGGACTAAAGAAAGGTGTGTGCCACCACGTCCTGCAGCAGACCCTTTTAGGATTTGGACATGAATCTTCTATTCTTAAAGTGGTTCAAACAAGGGCCCCAAAGTTAACTGTGTTGCTGAGTCTTACCACAGAGCAAAGTACTATCAAATAAGTACTGAGGAAATGAAAAAAAACAAAGCAATGCCCCCCTAATTCCAACCAACCAAAAAAAACCACCCCCTAAACTGATGCATATGAGGAAAATGGTGTGCAAGATCAGGTCACTACAGACGGTTCTTCTGTCTGATTTTCTGAAGCCTCAAGGCCAAGGAAGGAGCCACAGAGCCTTCTAAGTGGGGCCACAGGCCACATAGGAGTGTGGGGAGTGGTGCAGGGGAGCGGTGGTGCAGGGGGAGTCACACTTCCTGGCCCAGGCACTGCTGAAATTACTGCGATGTCAGCACTGGTCATTCTGTCACAGCTCAACCTGTAGTGAACCATCCTCCTAGCACTGCAGACAGATGGACAGCCAGATTACTTTGAAAGCACCACGATTGCTATCAAGTTCCCTCATTTAAGTGAGGATAAGAGGAGGCCAGTCTATGGGGGGTACTGAAGAGTAAAGGATGTATAATGCTATTCTTATGCTTTGCACATAGGACCTGGTGACTTCGGGCTCTCCTTTAGCAAATGATTATATGACTGAATATACTCATTACAATATATTCATATGTATAGGTATGTTAAATCTCCATATATGTATGGAAAATTAAAAAAAATTAATTAAAATTTTATTTTTTAAAAAATATTTTATTATTTTTATTTCTTATGTGTATGAGTGTACTGCCTGCCTGTATGTAAGTGCACCCTTGTCATACAATCCCTGTGGAGGTCAGAAGAGGGCATCAGATCCCCTGGAACTGGAGTTAGGGATGGTTCTTAGCCACCATGTGGATTCTGGGAACTGAACCCAGGTTATCTGTAAGAGCAGCCAGTGCTCTCAACTGCTGAGCCATCTCTCCAGCTCCCTTCATACCTTTTCTGAAAAAGAACTTTTTATTATAAACTAAAAATCAGGTCAGAAAATCACACAAAATGAATTTGTTGCCTAATGAGTTCTGAAAGGAAGAAAAACACCTGTAAATGTCAGCCATTATCTGGAACTCTACCAGTCACCCAAAGTACTCTGTGTGGCTTTCACAATTATATCCCTTCCCCCATTCTACAACAGCTTTTATCCTGAGCCTTATAATCCATTTCCTTATTATTTTATTTCTCAGGTGTAAACCTCTAGGGGTCACCATTTCTTGTTCCCATTCTCAAGTCTTGGTATGTTGTACGTCATCTGCATGTGCTTACCTCTCCCTTTCTTTCTTTATTTA